CACTCCAGTATTCTTGCCTGGGAAACCCCATGGATAGAGGAGTCTGGCAGGCTACACTCCATGGGTAGAAAAAGAGTCAGAGGTGACTTAGCAGCCAAAGAACAAATGTAAGCAATGGTTTTCTATGGAATGAATCCTCATGAAGCGTCTTTCTCTCTTTAACACATCTGCACCCTTCCTTTGCCCTCCCATTGCAATGTACATTTTTCTTCTGAAAGTTGAACTGAGGCTTTCATGAATCACAATGATCAATCAAAGGTCTTTGAATATGGTGTGATCACCCAGGTTTCGCTCACCCTGGAGAGGAAAATTCTGGCCCCCAAACTCTTCTTTCAGGGATTCTTCTGTCTCTGCCTTAAAATCCTAGGGAGAGGTTTCAGTTTAGAAATATGTTCTCCCAGGTGTGATTTCTGTCCTCGGGGCCTCCTGATTTTTCCTTCACTGGGATGGTTTTGTTTCTACCTGGGCATAGCAGCTACATTTCCATCAGTTGGACTCTGCATTTGGACTCCCAGCGTTCAAGTGCCTGGTGAGCTGGACCTTTTCTAAAGCCCAATTAAGGCTGCAGAGTGAGACAAAGCTGCAGGGGGCAGAATGAGCCTAGAAGCCTCGATTATGTCTTGTGACCTAGGAAAAATAGCTCCAATGGTTTGATTATCAAAATACATAGTATAATTGCTTCCTAGGGCACAGAGAAGGCAAGTCATCATGCCAGAAAAAAACAATGAGGGCAGGCAGGGGGAATGTATATTACAAAGATCGTGCACGTGTGCTAGGCTGCTTCAGTTGTGTCCAACTCTTTACGACCCAATGGACTCCTGCCAGGCTCCTCTCTCCATGGGATTCTCTAGGCAAGAATCCTGGAGGGGGTTGCCAGGCCCTCCTGCAGGGGATCTTCCTGACCCAGGGATGGAACCTGCATCTCCTGCATTGGCAGATGGGTTCTTTACCACCAGTGCCACCTGGGAAGCCCCACAAAGAAAGCCCCACCATGAGACTGGGAGGAAAACAGACCTCACGAAAACAGACTTTTAAACAGTTTTAAAATCTCATTTACCAGGGAATAAATCACTTTAGCTCTCTGTAAACGAAGTTATAAAATGTGCTCCTAAAGGTGCGGTAATGCTGACTTCACAGCCTGGTTGGGTGGACTGAGTGAGGTATCTAAAAATCTTTGTAACATTGACTGCAAGGGACACAAGTCCAGAGTGTATCGTATTCTGGCTTGCTCCCTGCAACGTATGTGTTTTGTTGTGGTGGTTGTTGTTTTTTACTGCACCAGGGGGCATGTGGGCTCTTAACTTCCCTGACCAGAGATCCAACCCAAGCATCCTGTGGTGGAAGTTCAGAGTCTTAACTCCTGGACTGCCAGGGAAGTCCCACGGGCTTGCTTTTTACAAGTGCTATCTTGTTTTACCTCAGAATAACCCAATGAGGCAAATATTATTCCTAGGCTCACTTTATAAGATGCCCTGGGAGGCAGTGCTTCTGTGACAGGACCTGGTCTAAACACAAACATCTGCTCTTAAAACCTCATGCGACACAGCAGACATCGCCCCAGCCCCCCAGCCCCCTGAAATCTCTGCCGTTCAAATCTGCTCCCTGGCCATTCCCGGCAACTGAAGCTCACATTTTTTCTTCCAATATATGCATAGTATAAAATAACGAGTACAATGATTATAACATTTGTTTCTATAATAAATATTCCTTCTCTCCCCGGCTGTTCTCCACTACTCTTCAACCCAGCCTAACAGGCTGCAGATCCAAGTTGCATCAGTGGAACTTTGGGGACAAGATTGTAGCTATTTGTTGTTCAGTTGCTCAGTTCTGTTGGACTCTCTGCCACCCCATGGACTGCAGCACACGGGGCTTCCCTGTCCATCACCAGCTCCTGGAGTTTGCTCAAACTCATGTCCATTGAGTCGGTCATGCCATCCAACCATCTCATCCTCTGTCGCTGCCCCCTTCTCCTCTTGCCCTCTTTAACCATGTACAAACCTTGCACCTTCACAGAGCACCTTCTTTTTAGGAGGGGCTGCAGGGAGCGCCCGTCATGAGGTCTGCAAGTGAGGAACTCTGCCCTCTGTCGCCTTTCTCCCGACCGACCATTGACCATCGGGGAACCCACCTCGGGGCGTCCCTGGAAAGGGATGCAGGCAGGGAGCTCGTCCACTCTCCGCGGGCCGAGGCCAGCTCCGCCCAGCCCTTCGCCCCCCGCCCCGAGGGCTCGGAGCTCCCTGCCAACCCTTTATCTTGCGGGTGCACCTGCTTCGCCCAGGAGATCACGGAAGGGCGGGGTCCGGACGCTGCAGGACTCTTTCCCCGGAACAGCCTAGAGATCTGGAACACGAACTCGGCAGAAAACTGGAAAGTACGGTAGGTAGAGCGCTGGCAATGGCTCATGCGCAGAAGAGGCCGCCGGGCCTTCCTCCCCAGGTTCCCTCGGGGCGGTCCACGCTTTCCCGGACTACATCCTCCATAAGGCGCAGCGGCCGCCGCCCACAGCGGGGGCCTCCCTAGAGGAGCTTCTGCCGTCATTACCGGCTTGGGTGATTGCCAGCAACCATTAAAGCAAAAAGAAAAGGTGCATATGAACTTCATCGAAGAATACACCTGAGAAGTGAAGATGACAGGCTATGAAATGTCCCCCCAAATGCAAATAATTCCCCAGGCCGTCTCTTTCTCTTCAACTTCTCCTAGGAACACCAGAAGGGCTTCCCAGGTGGCGCTACCGGTAAAGAATCCGCAGGAGACATAAGAGATGCGGGTTCAATCCCTGTATCCGGAAGATCCCCTGGAGGAGGGCATGGCAACCCACTCCTGTGTATATTCTTTTCTGAAGAATCCAGTGGACAGAGGAGCCTGGTGGGCTAGCTCAGTAGGGTCGCACGGAGTCAGAAACGGCTGAAACGACTTAGCAGCAGCAGAAACACTAGAGGCTGAGAGTCCCTTATTTTTCCTGCTGTTGTTCCCACTCAACATCAGAAAATGCAGTGGGGAGTATGCCCAGTGAGCATTTCACAGGTGAGAAAGCCTTCTACCATAGCCTGAATCTCATAGGGGAGCAATCAGACAAATGTGTGTGTTGCATGGTTGCCTGGCTTAGTGGCTTGGAAAGAGTAGGATTGAATGATTGAGTGCAGACAAGAATATTAGAGGAAAAAGAAGGAATTTATGGCACTGGGCAAAAAACTGGGAAGATCTTTGTGTTTGTATTAGTTTTCTATGACTGTGTAACAAAGTGCTAATGACCAGGGTTCTTGGTCTCCTTAATCAATAGGAATCGATAAGAAGCCAGACAAGAAATTCAGGCAAGGCTTTGTTGGGGCTCCTGCTGCAAGGCAGAGGGCACGGGGTTCAATTCCTAGTCGGGGAGCTAGACCGTATTCCTCTCAGCCAAAAAGCCAGAATAGAACAACAAGAGAAATATTGTAACAAATTCAGTAAAGACTTTAAAAATGATCCACAAATAAAAATTTTTAAAGAAATAAAACATCAGAAAAATCTATTAAGCTTATTTCTATTTTTTTTACATATACATGTTTAGATAAAGTTATGTACATTAAATACATATGATTGTGTAAATTTAGATAAAATTTAGAAAGATACTGCAAGAATGAGGGGGAAACGGAAAGGGGCTGGGGTCCTGAGTGCTATAGCTTCCTAGGTCTCCAGCGCCACTCCTCAGCCCTGTCATCACGGAGCTCAGGAACTGGTCCTCCGAAGTGATGATCCGTCAGGGAGTCTGGGGGAGGGGAGGGGAGGGGAGAAGTCGGGGAGAGGTGGGAGAGGAGGGTGGACGGCTGGAGGGAAGACAGGGAAGAGAAAGAAAACAATAAAAAATGCAGAGGCGCCAGCAGATATTGGATAATGCAGTTCCCACTATGGCCGCTAGGTGGAGGTATTATCGCAGATCAGCGGCCATTGATGGCAGGTGAACTTCGTTGCCGGGGAGAAGGCTCCCGCTGCTGTTAACCTGGGTGGACTCATCTGTGATGGATAGCTATTATTGTTAGTTGCTTCGCTTTTGTTTGGTCCTCCTGACATATATACCACTTTTTCCTGATGACAAGAACTTCCATTTTTCTTTGGGAAACAACCCTATTCCCATTAAGGTCTACCATATACACTCACATAGGCTGTGCACTGCACAGCTTCATGGGATCCCTCCGTTTAAACTGCAGAGTGGTGTCCACTGGAACTAACTGAGCAGTACTCAGCCTTTACATCTTTCAGTGTCAGCCACTCACTGAAAGATGGTGCAGTAAGTTGTCCATCTTAACTCCTGGTCTAGGTGGAGTTGATTCACTCTGATATGGATGCCATGAAGCCATTGCCCATTAATACTTGCCATGTAGATCCCTGGAGTTATCCTGGTTATGATTCTTTCTGGCTCCAACCAATTCCTTTCTGATTTCATTAGCCAGAGATACTTTCTGTTGCTGACAAAGAACTGACAAGTCACAGCCTACACCTCAAATCTTCCTCAAACGAGAAGCCAGATCTCAGCAAAGGATCTTGAGTATTAAGATTAAAATTCATTTTTATTCATTATCAATTCATTTGTGGCTCAGCTGGTAAAGAATCCACCTGCAATGCGGGAGACCTGGGTTCAATCCCTGGGTTGGGAAGATCCCCCGGAGAAGGGAAATGCTACCCACTCCAGTATTCTGGCCTGGAGAATTCCATGGACTGTACAGTCCATGGGGTCACAAAGAGTCCAACACGATTGAGCAACTTTCATTTTCATTCATTCATTTATTCATATAATAAATATTTGGCAGCATCTCTTAGATTTGTATTTTTATTTAACCAGGAAACTGTTTTACTAAATACACAAATCTAGGCTGTCTGTGATGTAACTAGTGACCCCTGGGTTGTGCAGTGCACAACTTGGGCACCTCTCCTGAACAGCCCTGGACACCACTCTCTCCTCCAGTACCCATGTCTCCTCAAATGCATGGAGACCCCTCCACCTCAATAGGGGTAAGTGGGGGGTCTCACCGTGAAGTGGCAGGATCCCCTTCCTGTCTGGACATCACGCCCCCTGGTTTCTTCCAAGAGCCCAGTCTGTGCTGGGAACAGTCTCTGATGACCCCGTAGTAAACAAGGCTGGCCTCCCGGGGCGGGGCCTTGGGCCGGGCCAGATGGTACTGAAACAGCCCATGGAAGGCCTCCCGGAAACGCTGGGACATGAGGGCGTAGACAATGGGGTTGACGGCGCAGTTCACGTAGATGCAAAGGCGGCAGAAGAGAAGGAAGCCAAGGTTGAGGTAGGGCGGGCTTAGAAAGGAATTCACCACCACCAGGGCATGGTAGGGCAGCCACAGCAGAGCGAAAAGGACCCCCACCACAGCCAGCATCTTGGTGACCTGCCGGGTGAGACAGGAAAAACAGAGCCGCATGGGTGCCAAGGGAGAATCCTGGCTTCCAGGTCTCTCTGTGAGCTTGCAAGACAAATAACACAAGAGTGTGCGGGCCCGGCCAACCTGTGATTGCAGGCATATCCTCACTTCAACTCCACCCTCACCCAGAAAACCGCTCTCCATCCTTCCCTGCTCTGCTCCAGTCTTCAGAAACCTCCCAGCTCCAATCCACCCCCAAAGCCTTTGAATGGGCGGCTCCCACATATTGGAAGCAATATTCACTCATCCACTGAGCTTCAGTCCCTTTCTCTATAAGATGGAGACACGGTACTGCTGTCATCATAAGTGGATGAGAGAACTGAAGGAGTTCATGCCAGTAAAGAATGTAGAATAGTGCCAAGCATATAAGATGCTTCTGTGGGTTTACTATTGCAGCTGCCACTACTAACATAACCACTATAGCAAATGCATGGGCTTCAGAACGGGCACAGCTGGGTTAGCATCCTGGCTCCACCACAAACCAGCTGTTTGGCCTCGGACTGTCCCTCTCTCCAGCTAGATCGCTTCTCCGCAGCAGACGCAGCCACAGGCTTCCTTCCGGCTCTTTCACTCGCCCCGCTCCCTCCCTCTGACCCTCCTTCCTGCCTTTGCTCCTAGCCACCTGTTTGCCCCTCCCTGCCCCCTCCGCTTCACTTCCTTCAGGTCTCCGCAGCACTTCCCTCACAGCACACACTAAATAAAGCCTCCAAGAGGAGTGCCCACTGGAAGGTGTTTCAAAAGATGCCTAGTTTCTAAATCCTGGAATGAAACCACCACAAGGGGGTGTCTGTCAAGGGAGCCGGGACATCACTGACACAGCGAAGGATAGCAGCGCACACGTGCCCCGGACCTTGAAATCCTCAGTGAGCCTTCCAGAGACCAAAACACGGTGGCAAACGTCCACTTAATGAGCTTAAACTGCTCAGATAGTCCTGTCACTGGTTCTGTGACCGGAAAACCCTGGATGCATTCTATCAGCTCTGGGGAATAGGGAGAGACAACCCTCTCATCAAGGCAGAAGCTAGCCTGGTTTCCAGCATACGCTTACTTCTTAGAGTCTGTGAGTTTAGTTCCTCTGCTAAGAGGCTTGGCTCTGGCTGAGTCAATAAATTCATGTTATATAATATTCTCCAGGAACCATGAAAAATCACAGGAATTCCCTAGAAGGTCTTGACTTCTGATTGTACTAAATTCCGATCCTTTTCCATTCTATTTTACATTAACTTGGGTGAGAAATACCAGCAGGGTGGTGGGCTCTGGAGCCAGGTTTCCTGAGTTCAAATCTTGGTTCTGTCACTTACCAACTCTGTGATCTTGGGCAGCCTCTGTGACCCAGTTTCCTCTGAGATGATGACATACGATACATCACGGAGTTGGTGTAAAAATTCAACATGTAAACTTGTGTAAAGCACTAAGACCAGTGCCTGGCACAAGCAAATACCCAATAAATGTTCACTGTTATTATTATGCTCCACCTTGTACTGGGCTTTCTGATTTCCTTAATTTAATGCCTTTTCCCTGTTGGAATTGTACACTGCATTCTTCAAGGACTCTCTTAGGCATGAAAGGAATGCTCAGTCCATAGACCCCTTTGTTATAAAAAGAAAACATTAATGCCCCACCAAAACAATAGCAACAGGTACCATAACTGAACACTTACTATATGTCAGATTTATATTTACTATCATCCATTGAGGTTGATATACACTATAATTATTCTTATTTTCCAGTGGAGGAAATCAAATCTCAGCAAGGTGAAGTGACTTACCCAAAGCCACATAGCAAGACATTAGCAAAGTTAGGGACCAGAACCTAGGTCTAGAATACTCTTTTCACTACCAGAAGTTTCACCTACAGCATAGATCAGGCAGGATTTTGATCCCAGTCCTTCCAGGTTGAGCCTGAGAGCAGTAACAGTGGTAAATAAGTGGGAGGGTAGGAGTTGCATTTGTCTGGAACCTAAACTTTCTATTTCAGACCTGCTCAGCCTGTGTCTTGCCACCTTCCCTCTAAAAACTACTTTGATCTAAGTTGTCTACAAGCAGGATGGGCCAAAGGGGCTTTTGGAGGCAGCTGGAAGAACCCCCCCCCCCAACGGCATGCCCATCCCACGAGGCAGGGAGATGGCACAGATGGTTCTTGCCTGGCTCGGGAGTGATTCAGCCAGGACGAGGTGCCTCCGCCTCCCACATGAGCTGTGGGCCGGGGTGGAAAGCTGAAGACAAAGACCAGCTGGACCCAGAGAGCGGTCCTCCCACCCGCATTCCTGGAAGCCCCGTGGTATGGTGAAACTGCTGGGACAGGGCTGAAGATACAGGGGGTCTGGGCAGTTGGGGTCCCGCTCCCAGGTCCGCTTCTGTGTCACCTCGGTCACTCCCATGTCCCCTCTGCCTGTTGCCTTGTCCGTAAATTCAGGTGGTAAACCTCCCCAACAGGAGTGATTTCAGGAACCCCCAGATAATCAGGCACACACCAAGTGCTCAGTAAATGCTGGATTCCTCCCCAGGACCCAGTCTCCTCTTTGCTTTCAGAATGTCTGTTGAAGCAGCTTTAGCACCAGAGGGTGTGGAATTGTCTTGGAAAGTCACTTCACCTCTCTGAGCCTTACTTTCCTCCTTAGTAGAAGAAGGGGAATACTGGCTATGGTGGAGGGACCTGCCGAGGAAGTTTAATAATAAACCAACGTGAATTTAGCCTTTAAGGTCCGACTCTTTGCGACCCCATGAACTGTAGCCTGCCAGGCTCCCCTGTCCATGGGATTTTCCGGGCAAGAAAACTGGAGTGGGTTGCCATTTCTTTCTCCAGGGGATCTTCCCAACCCAGGGACCGAACTCGGGTCTCCTGCACTGCAGGCAGACTCTACCATCTGAGCCACGAGGAAAGCCCAAGTTTGTGACATCGACTCTAAAGGAATTATTCCAGTTCTGTGGGCACTCCAAAGTGGTCCACATTGCCATGACCTCACGCAACAGGAGAGGAAACAGGCTCAGAAAGGCAGGAGTGATGTCTCCCAAAACCAGCCCAATCACTAGCACGACCTGGATTTGAGTTTGACTCCAGAGGGCTTTCCTGGGGGCTCAGACGGTAAAGAATCTGCCTGCAATGCAGGAGACTTGGATTCCACCCCCAGGGCGGGAAGACCATCCCCTGGAGAAGGGAATGGCTACCCACTCCAGTATTTTTGCCTAAAGAATTTGGACAGAGGCGCCTGGCGGGTTCCAGCCCACGGGGTCGCAAAGTCGGACACGACTCCAGTATTTTTGCCTAAAGAATTTGGACAGAGGCGCCTGGCGGGTTCCAGCCCACGGGGTCGCAAAGTCGGACACGACTGAGCCACTAATCCGTTCACTACATTTTTGACTCCAGAAGGGCCCAAGGTGCCATCCACCAATCTGCTGCAGGCTCAGTACAGGGGCCCGAAGGAGGCGGGGAGGAGGGCCCTACCAGCTTCCGGGAGTTGAGGGCTCCCCTCCTGCCGGGAAGACAAGCGCCCTTGGCCCGCGGGGGGTCGCCAGGAGGCAGCGGCCCCGCGAAGAGCACGCGCGCTATGAGCGCGTAGCATACGGTGGCCGAGCCCGGGGCAGCGCGTGGAAGAGCGCCATGTCCAGGAAGTAGGCAGGCAGGCAGAGCGAGCGCGCCACGCGGTGCCCGCACTGACCCTGCACGCTGTCGGCGTACGCGGCCTCGCGCGTGTCCACCAAGAAGGGCCAGAGCACGCAGCAGGCGCCGGTGCCCAGCCACACCAGCGCCACGATGCGCTTGGCCCGCGCCGCGGGGCACAGAGCCTGGGCGCTCAGAGGGCGGCAGATGGCGAGGTAGCGCTCCACCGTGAACGCGGTGATGGAGCCCGTGGACGCGTTGAAGCCCACGTACTGCAGGTAGGTGATGCCCAGGCAGCCGGAGTGGCCGAAGATCCAAACCCGGGCGGAGGCCGCCTCGGTCACGGTGGGCACTCCGGCCGCCAGGAGCACCAGCAGGTCCGCGGTGGCCAGGCTCACCAGGTAACAGTTGGTGGACGTGACCGTGTGGCGGCTCCGGACCACCACCAGGACCACCATGGCGTTGCCCGCCACCCCCACGGCGCACACGAGGGGCACCAGGGTCAAGGTCATGCCTGGACAGTCAGTGGAGGGCGGGGCATGAAGCCGGGGCCGGACGAGTTTGCGCGCTCAGAGTGCTCTGTAGGCTTCTCCACGCGCCCCGGTCCGCGCTGCCCTCCGAAGGCAGCAGCGAGCTGGGGAATGACTCCCGGGTGCAAAGGTGTCCTCGGAGAATCTCCCTGCAGGAAGCTGCGCGTCTCGGGGTGGGAGACGGGGGTGGGGTCTCGCAGCCGTCTCCAGCTTAACTGGTTTCTCCAACTCCAGGCGGGGTCTCCCTGCCACTGGCCGGGACGCTGGGAACTCGGGGGCTTCAGGAATTAGGGTCGTGCTGCTCAGTTGGAGCGATCACTCCCGGGGTGGGGTTCACTGCAGGAGAGCGTTCTGGATTGTAGGGTCGCGCTCCAGCAGGGGACCGGGCACCCGAACGCCGCCTCCCTCGGGACCGACTGCAGGAGCGCTCTCAGCTTTTACCCTTCCTCTCCAGGTTCCGGAGGCTCAGGACTCCAGGCTCGGGGATCCAGTCTATGAAGCCGGTGCGCGGACTGACCGAACTTCGCCTCTCTAACCTCTTTCTTCCCTGGCTCTGCACGACGCCCCCCCTCCCCGCCCCCCACCGCCCCCAGGCAGGCTCCTCTATGTTCTCTGGTCCTCTCCACTGATGCCACGTGGCTCATTCTTGTTGCCCCAGCCCGGCATCAGTTCCTTCCACCAGCTCCTGGCACCGCACGAGGTCAGATGGGGGACGCAGGGTGCGGTGGGGAACGAAAGTTGAAAAAAGGAGCGGTGCACTCTGCTCGTGTAGCATCTCCTCTGGACCCGGAGATGGGCGGCGGGTAGGGGAGGAGTCGGAGACCCGCTGGCTTCCCAGCACAGTTCCGGGATCCTATCCTGTTCTCCAGGGCAGAAACCTCAGCCCTGCTCCTGACAAATGGGGAGCAGAGACCCAGAGCTGCGTGCGGGAAAGGAAAGCTACTTGCTCCTCTGGACTTGGGTTGCTCCTGTCTCCTCCTAAATGTCTCGTCTCTTTGTCACCTTTTCACTTTCTCTGGCTTATTTCCCCAATTTTCTTTCCTTCCTCCTGAAGAAGACCTGTAAATTCTTCGAGAGTGACCCCACCCCCCGACCTTCCCACAGGAATCTCTCCCGTCTCTAAGACGGTGCCATTCACAGGCAAAAACCTGTTCGGAATCTTAAGCTGTGTTCCTGCTGCAGAAAAGATGCTTAAGGGTAGTTGAATGAATGAAAGGACTTTTCTCTTCACTAGAGGAAGCTTCTTGAAGGTGGGACCACACTAAGCTTCATAAGAGGCATAGAGACTGCCTCCAGGGAGTCTGGCTTCCTGCCTGCACCTAACTGATGCTGACAGTTGTTTGCTGCTGGCGATCCATCGGTTATGCTCTCTAAAAATTATTTCTTCATCTGTGAAATGGAATAATAATGATAGAACCCACCTCGGAGTGTCCCTGGGAGGCTCACATGATTGATGTGGGGAAAATCCATGTGAAACACTTAGCTGTGCTTGACTGTAACAAGGGGCGAATATATGGGTAGTTACAGTTCTCTGTCTATCCATCTATCTATCCATCCATCTACTTATCTATCGATCTATCCCTCTCTTCCCCCTTCTTCTTCCCCTTCTTCTCTGAAGAGCTTGCTCTGTATACAAATCTGATAAATGGACAAAGAAATAATGAGAGGGAACTTGCCAGGGGAGTATTCTGGGGGCACCAGCCAAGATCCCACTGTCCCCATTGTCAGTCTTTATAACGAATGTTGACTGATGTGTGTGAAACACTGGGTATTGCCTGGCGATGCTCTGCATGCTTTACAAACATGTAATTCTGTACTCTCAATGTCCTGTGGGGAAAGTATTATTAGATCCCCACTCCGCCCTGTTCAAATTTCTGACACACAATCCGTGAGCTTTATAACATGAGTGGTTGTTAGATAATTATAACAGAACACACATGAGTCAAACTGTCCTCAATTATCAGAAAGCAAAGACTATCAAAGTGGGAAGGGAAACCCATTCAATAATTTAACACATGTGCATGGATGGTCTTCTCCTATGTTAGAGACTGAGCTGGGTTGTTGTTATGAATAGTCAATTTAGAATTAGGCAAAGTGGGCATGATTGCTCCCATTTTACAGATGTGGAAACTGAGTTTTAGAGAGATGAAGTGATCTACTTGGTGTTAATTGACAGTAGAGATAAAGTAGGTGTTGGAACCAGATCTATCTGGTTCTAAACCTTCCACCAGACTCTGCCCTTTTGAAGGCATTTCAGTTAGGGGGCCACTGTGAACACAAAAGATTGGTCCCTGGCTTCCTAGCACTTATGGTGTAGTAAGGGAGAAAGGCAGGAAACAAATAGCTAATTACACTTGTTGTAAGAGTTTTGAAGGTATTACAGCAGTGTCTTGGAGAGCCATGGTTTTTTTCTTTTTATTTTAGGTTTTGACCACACCGTGTAGCAAGTGGGATCTCAGTTCCTCAACCAGTGATTGAACCCACACCCCCTGCATTGGAAGCACAGAGTCCTAGTCGCCAGACCACCAGGGAAGTCACGTAATGCATCCCCAAGAAAGTGACATTTAGGCAGAGATCCTGGTCCATCATCAATTCCATCCCAAACAATTCTAAGTTACTAGTTTTCTTTTCACCCAGTATCCACAGAAAATAAATTTTATATAGTATCTCAGTATACCTCACACACTCACACACACACAACAAGCTGAAACGATTTTTACAAAATTACGCTTGGGCTTACTATGAGCAACGTGTGCTGGTATTTTCTATTCTATTTTATTTTTTAGAAAGACTGGTTGCCATCTGTTAATTTGGTTCCTGATCCACGTTTTGTGACCCATCCTTTGAAAAACACTTCAGCCAGTCTTGCTAGTCCCATCTCCTGTCCCATCTCCCCTCCCAGTGATCGGGCTGGAGAGAAGCAAGAGACTAATTCTAGTTAATGAATCATGAAGGATTATTGCTGGGGGGGGTGCTCTGGGGAGGTTATATTCTTATATAACCAGCTTTAGGGGAAGGGAGGGGTGGGGAGAGAAGGAGAGAGAGAGGGAGAGAGGGGAGGGGAGAGAGAGAGGGAAGCGGGGAGGGAAGGCTCCAAGGAGAGTCACTGGAGGGACACTCCAGGCCGTCTGCGGTCCGATGGTGGTGACGGTGTTACAAGAGGATGTTACCCACCTTCTTCCTCTCGGTCCTGTAAATTGCCGCGTGAAGAACCTCTGGTCTGAGACCTGAGCACAGGTGGGTGGTCTCGCTGATTCACAGGCTGCTCCCACCCGCCTGGGCTTCCTTCAGATCGACAGGGAAGAGACAAGAGCCCCTGCAGCTGATGCCGCAGAGTCGCCCAGTCCTTGACCCGATTGGAACCCAGCACTTGAACTCATGTCTAGGACCCCCGTGGCATTTCCAGGTGGGCAGTGAGGCAGGGCATCAGAGACGTTGGCCTTCTTACCTGGTACCTTTTCCTCCCGGCGCTCATCCCGAGGATGGTCCTGTGGCCACCAGCAGAGGGCGTCCGCGCCAGCTTTCCAGTCTCTGGACCATTCACTGTCTTGGCTGGAGACCCCAGGGCTCTCCACCACCTCAGTCAAGGGAAACTAGCACCACCTCGCCCATCTGACTTGCTTTGAAGTCAGGGTAGGAGAAAGGTCAACATTCACATTTGTGACTCTGGGAAAAATCACATAATTCTCTCTGAACCTCAGGCTTCTCATCTGTAGAATGGGGATGACGATGGTCCCTTTGCTCATGTCAGAGGGCTCTTGGGATAGAAGACAGAAGGAGGTTCCAGCCCCGTGTTTTCCAGTCTCTAGGTCAAAGAGGAAGAGGCTCCCGGGGTGAAGTGTGGGATTGTCAGGAGGGCTGGAGTTAGCCTTCACTTTCCATCCTTTTGGGCCGGGCACCCGTCAGGGAGCCCAGTGTGTGTCCTGAAAGGAGCTGAGCAAGCAATCTGACAACCTCCTCATCCTCATTTCTGTCCTTCAGAAACATCAAACTTGTCCCCACTTCAGGGCCTTTGCACTTGCAGCTTTTCCTGTCTGGGATGTTCTTTCCCTTTCTCTTTGCAGGTCTGGCTCCTGCTTATCCTTCAGGTCTCAAATCAAAAGCTATCTCCTCAGAGAGGCTCTCCCTGGCCACTCCATCTAAGATTGCTCACCGCCCTCTTTGTGACACGAGTCTCCAGGTAAAATTATCTTGCTAATTTATTTCCTTGTTTGTTGCCAGTCTCTCACCTAGGATGTAAGTTCCATAAGGAACTTCATGTGTCCCTTTTTCCACTGACCACCAGGCCTCAGCACAGGGCTTAATGTACAGAGTTGCCCAATAAATATTTGTTGAGTAAATGCATGAAATATTGGACTTCTCAGGTGGTGCTAGTGGTAAAGAACTTGCCTGCCAATGCAGGAGATGCAAGTGATGTGATTTGATCCCTGGGTTGGACAGATCCCCTGGAGGAGGGCAGGGCAACCCTCTTCAGTATTCTTGCCTGGAGAATCCCATGGACAGAGGGGCCTGGTGGGCCACAGTCCATAGGGTCACAGAGAGTCAGACACAACAGAAGCAACTTAGAACAGTACAGCGCACAGCACATGAAATGTTGGTGAATTCCATGTATTTGTAAAGACTGGGCCAGACGCTTCTTTCCATGCGTATCTCACATGGATTGGAGGAAAGTTCTGTTAAGCCCCACTGAAAGGAAGGGAAAATGATGTACAGAGAGACTTAGTGATTTGTTCAATGTCACACAGCTACTAACTAAGTGATGGAGTCTGAACTCTGCTGTTTGTTAGCTGTGTGACTTTGGGGAAAATAGTTAACCTCTCTGAATCTCAATTTCTTTGCCTCTAAAAATAGATGACAACAATACCATCGAGCTCATACACTTGTGTGAGGTTTAAACCAGATGATGTACATGAGGTTTTTACAGAGTTTGGGGCACATCTGATGGCGTGCTGGAGCCAGCTCATAAGAGCCAGTTGCAGGCA